CACACACACACACACACACACACACACACACACACACACACACACACACACACACGAACCCCTCCCCAAATAATGTTGATAAATGGATTTAATTTCAATCTCCCAAAGCTGCTTGATATCATGATGAATGCGATTATGTGAATCACTCTTCAAATACTTGTCTTTATAAAACAAAACAAAGAAAAGCAGTGAGGCCTCGTGTTATCATTTAGATGCCTGGATGCAGATGAAAGAGTGTGAGCAGGCCCGAGCGGCAATAATTACACAGCCGTCGCAATGAGAACGGTTAAATAACACACATATATTTTTTAAGTGTCACATTTGATTTGAAGCCAGAGCCATAGCTACAAATTTCCACTGTGGTGTGTCTCTGATCCAGACTTTTAAATAATATCTGTGGAGTAATTAATGGGGCCTTCGCTGTGAAATATCAGTCAGTCAGCAGAGGCCTTCAATATATAAACAATTATATAAATACATCTAATAATATACATTTTCTGCCTTTGACTTTCAGCTCATTAGACATTCAACATGTGAAGAGGAATTACAGTAATTTAGTGTAATCATTAAAATTGTTTTTGGTCACAGTAAATCAAAGTGTGGTTGTAACAAGCTGTTACAGATTTAAATTTGATTTGTTTTTTTACATGTGAAAATAATTGTCTTATTTAGAAAATGTCATTATTATTATTATTATTACTGGCAGAATGACAGGGCCACAGTAATTTAGTTCACTATATTAATTGACATTCGATTATTTATTTTTTTGGTACAAAATATGATTTGGTGCAATATAAACATGCATTTCCTTCTTTTACATTTAGACACATTCAACCCAACCTCTTCCATTTTTTCTGCCATTTTAAGCATCACCTTCCGTTTAAGTTTTATCTTTTTAAAAATGCATTATCTGAAATATTTAGCTTGGGAGGTCACACTGAAAACGTTAAAACGGATTAACTCGTTATTTTAAAATCTCACCATTTTACATTGGTATTTACGTACCCTTGTGTTTTTGTAGAAACAAATAAATACAGGTGATAACAATAAATACAGGTGATATAATGTCATATGGAAGAGAATAAACATCATAAAACTGACCTAAAATCGCGGCATGCAACGGCATCAAATTAATTTGTTAAGTTGCTTAGAGAACAATCCTGCACTTCACGTGTTTTCTTTTTTAAATCCGTGTTTGGCTCCATTTAGCGGCAGTCTCTCTTCCAGTACAGTTGAAGCACACTGCAGTTTACCCTTCCAATCTAACACACGAGTCGGGACTCACCTTGAAGGCGACAGGCAGCGTCTTGTTGCACCGCCAGTGGGAGGGCAGGACCGAGCACAGAAAGTTGGGGCTGTCTGTGCGCACCAGCTCGGCCGGGTGGTCGGCGATGATCTCGGCCATGCTGCGGTTCTCGTGGGGACGCAGTCTCGGCACCGCCGCCGCGTCCGGCTGCCCGGCCGGGGAGCTCACATCGTTCATCTTCCCTGGGACCGGCTGGAGGCTGTTGGACGGCGGACTGAACCTCCGGCTGGCGCTGGGATCTACGGGAATGCGCATCACAACAGCGTGGACGATCAGAAACAGAAAAAGGCACCAGAGAGGCTCCTCAGCTTGTTCTCTTTCTCTCTCACACGCGCTCTGGGGAGAAAGTGTGCGCCGCCGCTGCTCGCTGAACCTCAGTGCGTCTGCCAATGGAAACTGGGACTGAGCGAACACCAACGTCTCAGAAACCGTCTCCACTACAAACTTTAGTGGTCGCCTTCAAAAAGACATAAAATACACTTCTCCAGCGAGGAAAAACAACCCCTGAAAACTTGATGATGTATAAATGACAAGTTCTCTTTTTCTTTCAAACTTCTCGGAAGAAGCGTCCGTGCGCCATAACGCAGGCGTCGCTGCTCATGTGTGGATATAAATAACATCAAATAAATGTCCAAGCGCGTAACAGGCTATAGAGTTACAGAGGAAAAGGCAGGTTTAAAAAGGAGCAGCCGAGCCAGATGCTGAAAAAGTTTTTGTGTGTCTTCCTCGAGTGAGAAGTCAAAGCGCTGCTCCAGGTGCGTCTTTGTGCCAGACTGAAAGAGACTCTGGAAGCCCGCAGGCTATGTACACACACAAAAAGTTTTCAAAGTCAAAGGGAAAAGCTTTGACAATACTTTAACAGAGCTATTTATAACCCAGCGACGCCTGCGAATTGTATATTTTTCCGTAAATTCTCTCTGGTTTTTTAGGGTTAAAAAGGTTGATGGATCAGCGAGAGAGAGAGAAAAAAAAGTCATCGGTGTTGAGATGAAGGAGGCGGAAAAACGAATCCAGTTTTTGTAGCCGTAAATGTGGTTAGTGTTTTGAGGCCGGGGTTTCCCGTGCGCAGGCTTTTTGTGGTTTATATAGCTCAAGCGCTGAGCAATTACTGCACTGATGCGACTCCAACACGTGGTGTCTGGAGTCAGATCCATTCCCTGCGCCATAATCTATCACGCCTATATACACGATCGCACAGGTCTCCGTGTAACGTCGACACCTTCATTAAACACACATGGGGCTGCTGCGTCTCGAGGCACAGTTGTTCCCTAATCTCGATCGATACTCACAGTTACAGAGTTTAGCCTCGATGTACGTACCGACATGTCACCGCTCCCCCGGACCGGCCCCCGCGCTCCTAACCCCGGAGGAGGTGGTCATTTCCAGTTAAAGAGTGTAGCACAACGCATCGGTCCACCATCCAGTCCCCCCCCCCCGTGTTGTGTTACCACGATATCCCGACAATGAGCTACGCACAGGGGGAGCGTTCAGAGAGCCGAGCCCGGTCGAGAAGTGACTCACGCTCCATAAGGTAGGAGTGAGTGAGTCAGAGCAGAGCGCAGAGTCAGGTAGAAGAAGCAGGGGTAGAGTTTCAGCCGAGCGCAGGGGAGAGCTGTTGTGCAGGTGTACAGGTACTCTGCTCCACACGGGTGTTCGTCCGCGTATGCGGTAGTTTCCTATCATCCAACTGATCTCTTCAATTAGAGAGAATCATGTGTCTCAACTTCAATTCAATTACAAGACAACTAGATCCAACAGCTCCAAAAGTCGACCATCTGGATAGAGTGGAACGTGCGTAATTACGCACACTTTTCCCCAAAAATATCTCAAAAAATGACAGAGGTGGAAAGTAATCAAGTAAATTTACTCAAGTACTGGGTTATTTGCATTCAATGCTATTTTATACTTATACTCCATTACAACATAAGGAAATAATTGATCTTTTGGAACCTTACTAGATTTAAGGAGCAGCCTTTAATGTGCATATTAAGATTTGAACATTCAAAACATAGGATGAACTTATAAAATATCACTTCTTTTTGTATTTAAACTACCTACAATTCTGTAATTTAGTTAAACTTAGCTCTGTCTTGACCAACCTCAAAAAAAAGAGGCTAATTTCACCTCAATGTAAAAGTAACAGTCATTTATTAACACAAGCAGTATAATAAACTATTCACAGGGGGCAGCTTTTTATAATATGAGTACCTATATACATTTAAGAATTTTGCAGATAATACTCGTCAATGCAGGACTTTTAATTGTATTATTTACTTCAATACTCTTTCAACCACTGCAAAATAAATGACGCAAAAATATTTTTCTAACAAATTAAACATTTTCCGAAGAGAGGCAATACAAACAACCAAAGACACCACGCACTTTGGTTAAGTCGCATTTTAAAAATCACGAATGACACCTATACAGTCCTTCACGCTAACAACTTGTTAAAAATGAGATCAAATGGGAGAATAATTTTTTTTTAAGCTTTGATTTCAGTGTTGAAATGTGCATTACTCAGAGTGGATGCTGGACTGAAGACAGTCAGTGCGAGGGCCTGCTCTGCCTGCCCCTCCGGTATCTACTGTAGAGGGCATCCTCTACCCTCCGTGAGCTCTCCTTGAGATCTCAGCCGACTCTCATCACCCACCCCGCCCTCCGTCCTGATTATCCATCAGTCTCCCGATGAGTGTTTTCTGAGTGCCACATCACACAACAGCATGTGTAATGCTACTCTGTGTTCCTTTTCCATTGCACTTACACATGCTTTTATTACAGAGTCTTTAAGACAAAGGCCTTTGATACTCTGGGCCCCGTTTCAAAAATAAAAGCAACTACTGGGAGGCACAGCTGCCTGGTTGTTTAGATCCTGTCACGGCTTTTGCAACTTATTTAAAATGCTGCAGTTGTATAGAACTTTATACGTTTCACAACAAGATGTTTGTTCAGAGACACACAAAAGGTTTGGTGCAGCCCGAACATTTGAAATAACTTGACTTCTTATGTTTCATAACTATGTATGTACGTGGGTGTGCACATTCATACATGTCTGTTAGCATGTGTGTGTGTGAGGATGTGGGAGGGATATATATATAAAGTCTGAAGGCACTGACACGCATCTGGCACCTCGTCATGTGGACAGGGAGGGGGAAAAGGAAAAAAAAAAAGAGTGATTGAGTTACACTTCCCCTCCATGTGCCCCAAACACCAGAAATATGGTTCACATTGTCCAACATTCTCAAAGATCAGCTAACAACTCATGGATGAATAAATGTGAATAGTAGTAATTAAATCTGTAATAGTGATAAACATGGCCTTGCAGGAACCGTGAAGCTAGTTATTCCAACAGAGTTAAGTTTCACCTCTGATATTATCTTTTTTTTTTCTTCAGCGCTCACTACGTTTGCAGTAATGTGGAAAACCTCCTTAATGTTGTAGTGAAATCTAATTTAGGAAACGTTAGGGGATGAAATAATAACTCATGCCGAGTCAATCAAGTTAGTCGGCCTAATTATTTTGAATGCATATGTGTTTGACATTGCCTTTCTCCCGATTACAATTTAAATGTAATTTTTTGCATGTTCAATGAATAAAAAGAAAGACTTGGTACAATTTCACATCCTCAGTCACACTTTTTTAATCGTCTTTTGTGTTGTCATCCTCTCGGAGGCAGCAGCAGGAAGAACCCCTTGATTTTTCCCACCTCTATACCCCCCTCCCCCGCTCGTCCAACCCGGTGTATAGTTTTGACAAGACCCGGCTCATCAAAGAGTGTTTGTCCCATCTGACTCTGCTTTTCTTCCCCGTTGCACGTCCAGCATCTGCCTTCCAGCTCCCTACATACTACAGGATACTGCTGCTCATGCTACAATGCCTGCTATCTGGCGCCCTGTCATCCAGAGGTGAGGGGCGACCTCTGAGTTTTAAAAAATCTGCCCGTCCTGGAGATGTGAGGCAGACAGCGGGAGAGGGCGTTAATGTTCCTGAATTTGCCGTTTCAGTCAGAAAATACTTCCATCACTGAGCCAAATATCGACTTTGGATTCAGATTAAATCCTGTAACCTTTTACACATTATTGGCCTTTAAGGGCATTTTACCGACTGCATCAGACTTAATATTATGTGGTAATGAATCTCACGTAATGCTGCTCCCTCAGTGTGGCTGCTGCTTGCCTGGTGCACAGCTGGATCGTCTCTCCCGGCTCTGGTACTATTCATCTACTGTGTTACACTGGCTCGGAGTCATTGCACAGTAGGAGAAGTCACTAAGAGTGAAGAACCACATTATACCACATTGAGCAGGATGTGCGTTTTATGATTTATGGTAATATTGTATTTCTGCCTCTCAGTTTCGATTATTTGTTTTCAATAAAAATCAAACTCGGCTGACGCTCCGACTAATTTTCCTGTCGAGATATCAAGCGTATAATAAAAGTTTTTTGTTCTCGTTCCCACTTGGAATGACAGCGACTGTGTAAAACGCTAATAGGAGCACATACACACAAAGAGGCACACACACGCATCTGTCTATAATGTTGTCAGCAAACCAACCGTGCAGAATCTCTCTGTTTCTTTACATCTCTCTTGCTCTTTGATTTTTACACAAACACACATTTAGACCATGTTTATATTCACTATTAACAATACCTCATTAGGAAAGATTACACGACACAGAGCCCAGTGTTGATGCTAAAAAGTAAAACAAGAGTCTGATGCAACAGTTCAAGTGCAACACACCCAAGTGTATATGGACTCATGCACTTTTTTTATAGAAGAGCAACAACAACACGATAGTGAGAAATGTTGATTTCTCTCCACACCGCTCTTCCTCCTTCCTCCTCTTTTTCACAAGCACATACTCTCATCATTCAAGAGGAAAAGTACAGCCACTCAGGATTAAGGCTCCATTTCACAGTGGTGCATTTTTCAAGACACTTAATTATAGCTTTCTAGAGGAGGGCTGTGACGAGGCCCAGACTGCTGCAGCTCTAACGGGATGTTTCCATGTTTGGCAGACCACCAGCCCAACCAGCTTGCCAGCGGACCAATCAGCAAGCCCACCAGGCGAGGCAGCGGAACAGCCAAATATCCAGTCTATACTCGCCAATCAATACCAAAAGAACAGACACACAGCCGCAAATTTAGCCTGCCGGTCAGTCGCACTCTGGTGTGTAGCCAGGCCAACCGGGCATATCAATTAGTGAACCAGCTAGCCAGCGGAGGATGACGAGAGGGCAGA